GATCTCTGCCTCCTTTATAGTATATAGCTGACACAGGGACAGTAGTACGATCTCTGCCTCCTTTATAGTATATAGCTGACACAGGGACAGTAGTACGATCTCTGCCTCCTTTATAGTATATAGCTGACACAGGGACAGTAGTACGATCTCTGCCTCCTTTATAGTATATAGCTGACACAGGGACAGTAGTACGATCTCTGCCTCCTTTATAGTATATAGCTGACACAGGGACAGTAGTACGATCTCTGCCTCCTTTATAGTATATAGCTGACACAGGGACAGTAGTACGATCTCTGCCTCCTTTATAGTATATAGCTGACACAGGGACAGTAGTACGATCTCTGCCTCCTTTATAGTATATAGCTGACACAGGGACAGTAGTACGATCTCTGCCTCCTTTATAGTATATAGCTGACACAGGGACAGTAGTACGATCTCTGCCTCCTTTATAGTATATAGCTGACACAGGGACAGTAGTACGATCTCTGCCTCCTTTATAGTATATAGCTGACACAGGGACAGTAGTACGATCTCTGCCTCCTTTATAGTATATAGCTGACACAGGGACAGTAGTACGATCTCTGCCTCCTTTATAGTATATAGCTGACACAGGGACAGTAGTACGATCTCTGCCTCCTTTATAGTATATAGCTGACACAGGGACAGTAGTACGATCTCTGCCTCCTTTATAGTATATAGCTGACATAGGGACAGTAGTACGATCTCTGCCTCCTTTATAGTATATAGCTATCACAGGGACAGTAGTACGATCTCTGCCTCCTTTATAGTATATAGCTGACACAGGGACAGTAGTACGATCTTTGCCTCCTTTATAGTATATGGCTGACACAGGGACAGTAGTACGATTTCTGCCTCCTTTATAGTATATAGCTACCACAGCGACCGTAGTACGATCTCTGCCTCCTTTATTGTATATAGCTGACACAGGGACAGTAGCACGATCTTTGACTCCTTGTTAGTATATAGCTGACACAGGGACAGTGGTAGATCATCCCCTGTCTCCTCTATTATGATAATAACTTATTTAATAATTGTTATCTGAGGACGACATATCCTCCCGGCAGCAAATTGTAGAAATACCATGAAATATAACGTACTTTATTTCGATACATATTTTATGTTAAATCTTCTTACTATAAAAAGAACGCAGAATTGTTAACGTTGTAACGCTGGAGATTTTCGCCCCGGGTTATTTTTTACTCTGGGCATTAGCAAACGTTTGCGAGGTGTAAGTTCACCATTTAAATAGCATCTGGCTATAAAGACAATGTGTCTTGATGGTTTCCCTTTCTTTATTCAATCTGTCCTGTCACTTCAGGGCAAAAGGTGTTTCAACAGCCTAAAAATTGTTATCGGGGAAACATCAATGTTTTATTGCATATTTATCCTCGATATGGGGGGGTTACGTATACGCTCACTAGCGCAAGTGTCGAGGATGTTATATATTTTACAAAGTAGCAACTTTGCTTCGACGGCCTGTAAACGGTACGGTTGTTTTTTGGTCTTTATTGTTTTAAATTTTCAACCCAACTCGAAATATTGGAATAACGATTCATGAACAACTAAGTTTAGAAAGAAGAACAAGAATATGTGTTTTCATCATAAAAGGTGAAAATCTTTTAGGTGTGTTAAGGAAACAATAGGTCTTGAAAAGCGCTATTTGTTAAAACAATTGAAGACGTTTGCTGAATTGTATCTATAAACTAGAAGGAGAAAGTCAGCCACTGACTACATAACGCAGTACGGTATTTCCAACAACACTCAATAAAGGTCCACTCCAAATCCTTAATGAGTTTTGGAGTCAAAGATATGGACAAGCCGAAAGTGATAAATATACCATCTCAGCCGTTAATCTCCGTCCGAGCAATTGCAGTACAGAACGTAAAACACTTTTACAACTGTGTACGGCCTGCAAAGTCCAACACAATACACCACCGTGTCCATCGACCACCCAGCCCCGTAACCTTAGCTGTTAATGGGACCGCATGTAAAGTCCAACCCAATACACCCCCGTGTCCATCGACCACCCAGCCCAGTACCCTTAGCTGTTAATGGGACGGCATGTAAAGTCCAACACAATACCCCCCCATGTCCATCGACCACCCAGCCCCGTAACCTTAGCTGTTAATAGGACGGCATGTAAAGTCCAACACAATACACCCCGATGTCCATCGACCACCCAGCCCCGTAACCTTAGCTGTTAATGGGACGGCATGTAAAGTCCAACACAATACCCCCCCGTGTCCATCGACCCCCCAGCCCCGTAACCTTAGCTGTTAATAGGACGGCATGTAAAGTCCAACACAATACACCCCCATGTCCATCGACCCCCCAGCCCCGTAACCTTAGCTGTTAATGGGACGTCATGTAAAGTCCAACACAATACTCCACCGTGTCCATCGACCACCCAGCCCCGTAACATTAGCTGTTAATGGGACGGCATGTAAAGTCCAACAAAATACACCACCGTGTCCATCGACCACCCAGCCCCGGAACCTTAGCTGTTAATGGGACGGCAAGTAAAGTCCAACACAATATACCACCGTGTCCATCGACCACCCAGCCCCGTAACATTAGCTGTTAATGGGACGGCATGTAAAGTCCAACACAATACTCCCCCGTGGCCATCGACCACCCAGCCCCGTAACCTTAGCTGTTAATAGGACGGCATGTAAAGTCCAACACAATACACCCCCATGTCCATCGACCCCCCAGCCCCGTAACCTTAGCTGTTAATAGGACGGCATGTAAAGTCCAACACAATACACCACCGTGTCCATCGCCCACCCAGCCCCGTAACCTTAGCTGTTAATGGGACGTCATGTAAAGTCCAACACAATACTCCACCGTGTCCATCGACCACCCAGCCCCGTAACCTTAGCTGTTAATGGGACTTAAACTACAAACAAACAAATCTCTAGTAGCGTTAGAGTAGGAATTACATGTATATCTGAAGCTTTACGTTATGCTATACGCTGATGACACTATATTACTATCGGACACGGCAGAGGATTTGCGAATTCCAACCTATTGCATCTTACAGTCAATATCAGCAAAACTAATGCATGGTATTTGGTAGAAAAAGAATTCATGAAGACCTTAATTTTACATACAACGGTACTGTTATAGGAATAGCTAAGGATTTTAAATATATTGAGGTTTATTTTACTAAAACTGGTTGGACACAGTTTAATATTAAACAACTGTGTGGTAAAGGTTTAGAAGCAATGTATGGTGCTATTTCCAAATGTAGGGATCATAATTTGTCAATAGATTGTCAACTAGATATATTTGACAAAACCATCAAACCTATTGTTTTATGTGGATTTGAAATTTGGGGTTTCTGTAACTATAAACTTATCGAACGTTTACATCTAAAATTTCGCAAACACATAATCAATGTTAATACGGTCTACCCAGAACTTTATGATATACGGCGAACTTGGAAGCTTTCCGCTAGAGATTAATGTCAAAGTAAGAATAGTCGGATTTTGGGCTAATTGCCAAAAAAAAAAAAAAAACCCAGAATAAATTAAGTAATAAACTGTTGGCAATTTTATCAAATCATGAATGATCATGGCTAAAATATGTGAAAAGTATTTTTGAAGAATGCAGTCTGATACATATATTCAGTAGTCAAGAGTTTCTAAGTATACATTGGCTAAAGTACCATATTTTACAAACTAAAAGGAAAATTTATATCAAACTGGAGAAATGAAATGTGTACCTCTCCGAAAGGAATCAATTATAGAATATATAAGTACGAACTTCGTTTAGAAAATTACTTACTAGAACTCCCTCCGAAACTAGCCAAAGTGTATTGTAAATTTAGAACATGTAATACTAAGTTACCAATCGAAAGTGGTAGGTGGTCCAATATACCACGTGAAAATAGATGATGTAATATATATATATGTGTGTAATATAAGAGAAATTGGTGACGAATTCTATCATCTGTTTACCTGTACACACCAACCAATACTTAATAGTAGACGAAAACATATGTCCAGATATTATTATGAAAGACCAAACATATTTAATTATCATACATTATTCAATTATGTAACATAACATGAATTGATATCATTGGCTGAAGTTATTACCGATATTAATGAGATAATTAATTTACATTACTAATGTCCATCCTGTTCCACCATGTATTATTGTCACCCATTTGTATATATGTATTCGTATGAAATGAAAACGAGTGTAAGATCCTTTTTATCACATATGCATAATCAA